CCCCCCACATCTTAGTGTCATCAGCAAATTTGAACAGGGTGCTTTTTACCCCCTCGTCCAAATCACTGATGAAGATGTTGAACAGCGCGGGCCCGAGGACCGAGCCCTGCAGAACCCCACTGCCCACGTCCTTCCAGGTTGAGAAGGACCCATCCACCACCACCCTCTGGGTGCGGCCCTCCAGCCAGTTGGCGACCCATTTGACTGTGTGGGTGTCTACGCCACAGCCCCCCAGTTTCTTAATGAGAATGGGGTGAGAGACAATGTCAAAAGCCTTCCGGAAGTCCAGGAAGACTATGTCCACTGCTACCCCTGCATCTAATGATCTGGTGATCTGATTGTAAAAGGCCACCGGGTTGGTCTGACAGGACCTGCCACTGATGAACCTGTGTTGGTTGCCCCTAAGCATGCAACCATGTTTGGTCTGTCTTAGTCATTTTTCTTCTTCTCTTTTCTTCCTCCTACTCTTTAGCTATTTTATTGGAATTGCCTCTCTCAAATGATGTGTGAACTCTGTTTCATAGCTACACCTGCATATGTTAAATTCTTGTACCTGATATCCACTTAATCCTCAAAATGCCCCAAGTCACAAGAGGGAATGATAAGAATCATGAAGGGGAAAAGCATTACTGCTGAACCTGAGTAACAGAACAGAATACAGCACATTCTGGTACTGTGGAGGTCAGCTAATAGAACTGATGAAGAAGTTGCCCAACGATCCAGGCAGAAGAAGGCTTTGCACATGAGATGTTGGGGTTTGAGAGTGACCTGTCTGTTGAGTGGTTAGAGGGGTCAGTAGCATCACAAGGGTGAGATTTAGTGTTATCTGGAGAAAGATTTGATTCATGAGTCAGATGGGAAAGTGGCTGTCTTCAGCCAAGGTGGACAGGGGGTGATGGTCAAAGAGGGGAAGAAGAGGGAGGGGTGGCATGGGGTATCCAGATATGAAGAAGCTGTGAGGAACCTGAAGTCACTCTCTTTATACTGACCTGTATTTCTGACTTAGAAACAAAAGCCCTCCCTTGCTTGCTCAGCTTTGGTAGAGAAGGCTGGAGAAGACTGTGAGTACTACTGCAGTCAAGTCTCCTGTGAAATCTCTGTCTGCAGGAAACTGACTCCTGCCAAGTGCGAACTAAGTTACTACTTGGAGACTTACCACCACTTTCTCTAAAATAACTGGAGTAGGAGTGGTGAAATTAGTAATGAAACTAGGAAGGTCCTAGTAAGAGTAAACTGTCAGCTGCTCTGTGCCATGTACCCTCAAGAGCTGGCTCATCCAAGTCATAGCTGAAGCACTCTCTCTGGGTGCAGCCTGGGAGTTGTCACTTGCTGTTCCCCATTCTGTAGTTACTCTGTGGATAAACAGGGAACTTCCATGCCTAAAGCTATAGATGAGGGAACTTTCACCAGTACTTCATTCCCTAGAGAATAATAATGTCAAGAATTATCCCAGGAGTATTTCAAGCAACATTTCCATACAGACAGGGATATTTGCAATGTAGAATAAATTTGCCAAAGCAGTAAATTGTTTACATCAATGCTGTGGAGACTCAGACACATTTTTAGACAGGGGGAAAATAAAACCTTAATTTCAAATACCTACTTAGTGCCTATAAGATGATTACATATGGAAGAATCAATGCATCACTGGCTCTGGAAGGCCAGACTTTTAATTAATTTATAGACTTTTCCTGACCATTAATGTTCCTATGTTCCATAATGCCAGGAAGAGGTGTGTGCAACTGTCTTGAGCTGATGTCTGCAGGGACAGATACAAAATTCAATAGGAGACAGATGGAAAGAGAGTTTGTAAGGTCTCTATGGTGGGGAGACTACCACTCAGGCCCTTGATGAGCCTCAATATTGGAACATTAAACTGAGTTTGATATTACTATATCTATTGAAAAGCTTTCCTAAGGCATGACTGACATTTTAAGGTAGAGCAATTTCCTGCATCTTAATGGAATAGGAAAAGCACTTTACACTTCAACATGATGCTTTTCCAAGCAATATTGCTGAACACTTCTATAATGAATTCTGATGTCATTTTTTGTCTGTCTTGTAGATGGTGTTAATCACTAGAGTAGCTCCCTTGTGTACTGAATTTCAGCTTTCTTTTTTAATTTGCACTTAAGTCTTTGTTGAATAAAAAGGAATTTGATGGCTCAGGGGTTAGTATTAGGATAAAGAGCCTTTCACTGTTAGAACAGAGGTTTGAATTAGGACCAAACTGTAGCCACAAGTCATTACTTTGTGATGACTGATCTCAATGCTGTCTCTTTACATGCTTCAAAATGCTGAGATCAGGAAGGGTGTCAACTTGGGCTAATTGTTGTGGTGCTTTTTCAACAAAGACTAACTTTACTTTTTAGGAAAAAAATCTGTTATGAAGAATAATTCTGTTAAAGGCAAACAAATGTAGAAAATATAAATATGTGGAAACTTTTTGTGAGGCTGATTTTTTTGCAGGGGTCTTCAGGCAAGTTTCTTTTTCTTTAGGTATTCATTTTTGTTATTGTTTCTCTCTTTCAGTTCTTTGAGAACTTCTACTTTGGAGAACTGCAGCTGAATTCAGTCCATCTTTCTGAGAGGTTCTCCACAGTCAGCTCTGGTTACTATGCAACATCTGGACAGCTTACCTTTTCCTAAAGTGCAGGCTCAGCTGACCGAACCAACCTGCTCTGTACCCAAAACTGCATGACAAGCAGCATGTTGATTAAAACAATTAACATTTGATAATGGACAGAGACCATTTCTTTTATGGACTCAACAAAGATTGAGAGCCCATGTTATCCTTTCTACCACAGTCACTGATGTTGCATTTTCTTGGCAGAAGTCTCCTGCAGTCCCTCTGCCAGACATCCCATATCAACTCAGTAACCTGTGATTCCCTTCCCGCTCTATCACACACTTCCCCCTCTATTAACACTTTGGTTTCTGAGTAGGGGAAATATGAAAATGAGTATCCTCAGTATGAAGCAGCATTCTTAGCTAAAAAAGTTTCAGCTTATTTCCTTTTTTCCCTCAGATGCTTAATGCCTTCGTACACATATGAAAACAACATTTATTTTTCTATAAATGTTGTCATGTTTTTCCATCCATCACATATTTATTTTTCTCCCTGCCTCAGCTTCCTCCCTTCCCCTTCAACCTTGTTCCTAAGCTATTTTGTTTACTCCTCTATAGGCTTACTTTAAAGCCTAATTAAGGAAGTAGAAAGCCTCCCAGTGAAATCACTGGGCTCTGGGTGAGGCTTTCTGTTTGGATGGTAACATCACTATGCAACTGTTAGAGCTTGGTCCGGGGATCTCTTTTGGATTTTATCACTGGTAATAAAAACAGGAATGTTGCATGTGTCTGTTCCCATTTGTCAGTAAACTGCTTGTCATGGATGAACAGAAGAGATGCATATATATCTTGGGATCAGCCACCCAGAAATACACACTCAGGCTTTCTCATAGGAGTTGGCTACCCAACAACCAACACTGTTTATGCCGTGGAAAGAGATGATATACTCCTGAAAGCTTCTTGATGTGTTTCACTTTAACAATTGCCACCCAGAAGCAATCTATGCATCGAATAACACTAAATATTAAAACTCCAAGGGGACACAGAAAACTATTTTTATTCTCTTCGTGTGCAATTCCCCCAGAAGCTTAGCAATAAAATTTCCTTCCTGACTACTTTTGTCCCTTATTACCCACTATTGATTTTTTTTCTCATTGAGGTTGACTCTTTTTGACGTTTTGGGCTAGATTCTGCCACTGACAGCAGTGCAGAATGTCATTTCCTACTCTGAGTAATCCTACTGAAACTGGTATGGCTACTTGCATTATTTTCTGGGAATAAAAGTGGCAGAACACAGCCTTTGAGTACTAATACCATATCAAATGGCTATTTTTTAAATTAATGGTAGCAAAAATCCTAGATGTTTAAACGTTTTTAACAAGATACACTCACAAAGCTGGGGGCTGGAGGGGGAGACAGAATATCAGGAAGGCATCTAGCCTAATATCTCTGGCAAACCATCTCAGATAAGATTTACCAAATCATCACCATTTATGGTTGTGTGTTGATCTTCAGCTACTTAGTGATACCAGTCTGTAGGCACTAGATAAATTCATTGCATGTTGTTTCAGTCTCCTGGTAATAGGAAGGGCTTGCTCCTGCTGTCATTACTTCCTATAAATAATTACACGTGCTTACATTTACATCTGTGCCTTAACAGTGCTATGCTTGAATGCAAATGTTTGAGAAATACTGTCTTTCTTTGCAAATAAGTCTATGTCAATAAGGGCACAGTTCAATAAAATAGGTTGGCACACTTGAGTTCAGTGGTGTTATCTGCAAACACTGTTGCATCTCACTAACATGGCACAGAGGGAGCGCACAGATGCAATAAAGCAGGGGTGTCAAACTCATCTTGCCTTGCAGACTGGATGAGGGTCACTGGGCCACTCTGGGTCAGACCAAGACCAACGCCCTGTGCAGCGCCAGGAGGTGCCAGGTCCAGCTTGCATGCCACATGCATTATGTGGGGTCAGGGCTAGCACATAGTGTCAGTCCAGTGACACACAGGCCAGGTCATACAGATCCACAGGCCTGATTAGGCCTGTGGATCTGTATGTTTTGACTCCCCTGCAACAAAGCACTGGTATAATTGTTCCTGCCATCAGAACAAATGAGAGCAGAACAGAACTTTTGGCAATGGATTTGGAAGAGTGTTCCTATATAAGTATTTGTAAAATACATATTCATAACTTAATTTTACTTAAATATGAATTATAATTGAATAGCAATTTATGAAAGTGCTGTATGGAAGATACTATAGAGATTAACCTAAGTTGTTATATCCCAGCTTCTGTTATTTTTTGCAAAGCCTCTTTTCAGGCTAAATGTCAACTTAAGCAAGGAGGTTGTACTTGCACACGATTAATCTGTGGCTTCTTCTCCCTCCTTAGAAATATTTTTGAAAACTTAAGTGTGGATCCTGTATGTATTGGTTCTGTATCTACATGGAATTCAGTAAAGAGAGATGCAAGATAAGAATGTGGTGCAGTTGGTCTGCTCAGTGCACAAACTTGCATAATCTTAAAGTGAATACACTTCTGGGGCATGAACCATGACATGTCTTTGAAAGTATTTATCTTTAATAAAATATACCAAAACTGGCATCTGCGTTTTCTACTACTGGTCAGTAAAGGCTTGCTTGTTACTGCATGAAAAACTGGAGTAACTTATAGGGATGGTTGGAGAGGAGGGACACTCTCAGAAGATGCTTGTGGTGTTTTATTATTTTAACATACTGGTAATTGCAGTATCTGCAGCAAGGCCCTCTCCACTTGCACATAGGGCAGCCTGCCTCAGAGGCCAAAAGCTTGGATGTCTGCCCCCTCCTGCTCTGTAGCTGTGCTATTCTTTTACAGCTATGCAGAATGTTGGTGGTCATTGTCTCCCACTTCTTTCAGGATTAAAGCAAATGAAGCATTAAAGCCCTAGTGCTGTAAATGACTGTACTGCCCCTGCATGTGCACTGAGCCCCAATGGCTTCATTAAGTGAGAAGCAGTTCAGTAGATCATTCTCCTTCCCCTGCTTAGTCAGGCCTGCAGTGCCACATGGACAGTCCCTCTTAGTTGTAGGGCTCTTCCCTGGCCTTGGCTTTTTCTTTTTGGTTTGTCTGAAATTGGTTTGTCCCTTCGTGTTGTGGATTGGTATTCCAGCAGCAGGGAGGGTGGCAGAAATACCGGATGCAAGAGTAGGATGGGAAAGAAACCAAGGTGTCGGACTGAGCCCTGTAGAATCCCCGCCCCCCTCCACAGGGCTCCTTCTGGGTGTCACTGGGAGGGGGAATGACAGGAATGGCCATGGGGAGGGAAGGCAAAGTCAATAGGACTTAGGAGAAAAGGGGCCCTGACTTTCCCCCATACATTCACACCTGATTATATTTTAATTAGACCTTGTCCCCAGTTACCTGGGGAATGGGGTTCTCTTTCTTTTTTCCTTCCAATCAGCAGAACGGTGAAAGGCCCCAGGGCCTGTATGGGTTAGCACTGAGAGTTGGAACCCAGTATCAATAAGCTCCACTGTTGCACTGGGTTAAGGAGCTCCAGCACCTCGTATGTAAACAAATGTGCAAATGGTGCTGTTATGACAAGAAACCAGCACTCCCCGGAGGCCTAGATGCTGCTTCAGAAACTAAGGTCTTTGAGTTCCTCAGCTTACCATTTCCCATTATTTATGGATAGCAGCTTCCCAGCCCCTTCAGTCTGTGTACTTTGATTTAATTGCAGTATCACTTCTCCGATTCCTTTCCCAGCCTGCAGCCTACTTCAAAATGCAGAAATAATATCTATTGTCTCCATCTCTGACTATAGATATGCAAATGTATTTTTAGTTCTGTTTCATTTGCATTCAGGGGAGTTAGGAGAATGCTAATCTGTTTTTCCTCTTCTACAGATTGGCATCAGCATTATGAATTTCTGGGACTGAAAGGCAGGCTTTTGTGTGAAAATTGAATCTCCTTCTATGTGATCAACATGTTTTGTGTCTCCAGATTTTTTTTGGCTCCTCTGCTTTCCTACTGATGTAAACATCATCTATTATTCCTCTCTCATGGAGGAAAACATTTAAATTCCCATCAGCACTTGGGAAAGCATTAACCCTTGAGAAGGAAGATGTCTCTAAAATCACATTTGCAGAGGTGGAACCTACTGCATTAGAAGTTACAATTTCCTGTTACTAAGGCTGGCAGAGGATACCAAAAACAAATAGGCTGTCTTTTCTGTGCTATCCCATTGGGCTTTAAGCAGAGGTTTGTATTTGCCAGCCCCAGGTAGACAAGGTGCTCTGTCTATATGGACCCCTACAAAGTTGTGCAGCCATGTGCAGGAAGGAGGTCTGCTGGGCCAGAGCTGATGGCAGGGCCTGGCTTAGGCTCCTATTGCTGAAGTCTTTAATTCCCGAAGTTGTGAGGAGAAAGGTTATCAGAATGTCATTACAGTTTTAAAAGAGGGGAACAGCTTTGGAAATAAGAGCAAACACCATCTCTTCCCCAGAGCTTCACCTCATGGCAAGTCAGTTGCAGCTGAAGGGAGCAGACAAAGCTTCAAGGGTTGCCTTTTCCTAGCCCTAAATACAGCACCTTATAGATCAAGTGGTGAGTCCTGACCCTGGGCGCGGTCTGTCCTACGCGGGCCGGGGCTGGTTGGAGGCCCTGCGCTCTTCTTCTCACGGGGGGCTGCAAACGAAGGACCCTGCCTGTGTGCGACCGGGGCTACTAACTGAGGGCGGCACCGGCCAGGCTAAGGGGGGGAGGCTCGAGCTGCCTTCATCGTCCTTCCTCACCCGCGGGAGGCGTTCAGAGGCTAGGGGGCTGAGCCGGACCCCGGGCGTTTGCCGCCGCCTCAGCTCCGAGCGAGGCTGCCCGTCCCGCCGGGTCGGGGAGGGGGAGGCTCCCGCTCGCAGGTGCGATGATGTCAAGGCCGCCGCTGTCCCCGTGACGGCGCCGC